GTCCATTAGAATACACTCGGCAAAGACAAAACACTCGGCAAAAAAGGTTCCCAGAATAACAGAAATTAGTCTCTTCGCTGAGTGTTTTGGCTTGACACTCGGTAATGCCTCGTTTTGCCGAGTGTTACACTCGGCAAAGCGACCAATACCCCCTCTTTTTTACTAATCTGTCCCGTATGATGGACCCCTCTCAGTTCACAATAAACCACCATAATTTACAATAAAGCATCATCACAGGCATAATTGTATAAACCGTCATCACAATTCACAATAAATCATCATTACAATTCACAATAAACCATCATCACAAGTCACAACTAAGTCACAACTAAGTCACCATAATCCACAAATGCAAATGCAATCACTGCGGAGGCCCTTGGAACCACTGTGACAAATCCGGGTCTTGAGACTGATTATTTGATGCCGCCGATTGATTCTGCACGAGATTGCATGTGTAAGCTACAGATATAAAAACTCACTGCAAACAGAAAGTATAAGTAGTGTGTTAAAAAAATACTTGCACCCACGTAAGTATATAAAGTACTAATAAAAAACTCACTGCAAGACTCATCCAGTTGGCAGGCCAAAAAAAGACAAGTAAGCCAATAATGGCTCATCGATGTCTCAGTTAGCAGGCCTCTTACGCCTCGCCATCACTTGGGCCGTGTGCTGCAGCCTGCAGCTGCTGCGGAGTATCGTTCCAGGAGCTTGAATCGCATACGTGTGCATACATGTGCTGCAGCAACGTAGAGCCAATCACGCTGACCTACTCACCTACAGCAGCGACTTTGGCCGCCGCAGGTCCGGTGCAGTCACTGCTGCTAACTGCAAGATAGATATGGAACGGCTTGATGAGAGCCTCTTTTTTTCTTTACTTTATCATATGAGGCGGAACCAGGCAGTAGGGCGGGGCAGGGAGCGGCGGCAAAAACCTGCAAGTTGATATGTGGTTGTAAGATTCAAGCAAGAAGTGTTTAGAAAAACCCCAGAATTTTATTATCAACTTTGTGTGGGACTCATATGATAAGGAGTGTAATCAAATGCTGTTATCTAAAGCTACTCTGCAGATCAGTTACAATATGTAAATATTTGCAGCTTTGTACAACGGAAGTCCAAATTTTCATATCTCAAATGTGAAAAAAGAAACATATCGTTGAAAGTCAAAGAGATTGTTTTTTATGTGCTGAAACTAGGCAAGTCTAGGCCATGTTATAATTTGGAGTTGGGACACCTAATTCCCTCTATAAAGATATACATTGAGGCCTGTAAAGGGCCACGGGCCACGGCTTATAAGAACTGATACGTTTGCGTTGCTTTGTTATTCTGGAATTTGGAGACAAGCAGGCACAAGGACAGCTGTATTGATCCAATTTATTATATAGCAAAAAATAAAGAATCACAAGTATAGCAACAGTTTGGCTCGAACTAGAACTACCCTGGTCTGGCTCCAATTTTATTTATGATTACTGAGACAATTGGCCACTAAATGGCTCCAAGCAAATGAGACGCGACAAGGGATCACAAGCTCACAACTAGAACACGTGTGGCCCGCCCCGACCTCCTGGAAGTGGAAAAAAAAAATCCCACGGTCTCAGGAGGCTGCAACTAACCAACCAATCACCCCCAGATCCGGGTCCAAACGATTATATGCGTGAGCCATCAGTCGCTCAGCTCTCATGGTTATGTTAGGCAGATCCCTGGAATATAGTAGTACCCATTTATAAAGCAGGCGACCAAAACCCAAACTGGTCATGATCAGCCGCCTAAATTAAATTAAATATCATCCACAAATCCCAACCGCATCCCCAGTGAGATTTAGCGATAATAATCAGAATATGATCCTCTGCTAACCAAATCTCACATGTGCTTGCAATGCATGTTGATTACTGCTAACAAATCTCACACGCATGCATGGTGGCATCTGCTTATCGGCTGGCTAATAATTAGTCTCAGTCTGAACATGCAAGCAGCTAATACCTGTGCACGTACGACGTCACCATCGGCGTCGGCATCACCCAGCAAACCAGACCAAATCATAGCAGAATATATGGGACCAAGGCCAACTTCAGAGGATTCAGACTCGCTTGGGCCAAACACAAACCACTAGTCGTCTCCTTTTCCATTGCATGCCTTGGTTGGTTCCAAGTCAGTCAGTCACTCAACAGATGGACGGACAGACAGACAACTGAGAGCAACGGCAGGCGGCCGTCCTTTCTTCCTAACAGGCTAACAGAATTGGCCAACCTTTTTCTCATCTTGGCTATGTCAAACCGTGCTGCGGTGCAATATGCATAATTTTAGCATAATCATGTTCTCCTAGTTCGTAAAAGAAACACACAGCAATGGCAGCGTTCACGAAAAACACACAGCAATGGCGGAGAAAAAAGGGGCTGGCACGGTGGATTTGCCCATGTTTACAAGGAAAAAAGCTCGATCTGGGGAGGACAAGGAGGAGAGAGGAAGGGCTCACCGGTTCTTTGGGAGGCAGGGGCGCCGGTGGCCGGGCCGCCGTGCTCTTGGGCGGAGAGGCGCGCGCGCCGGGGCCGGGCCGGAGTCGCGTCGGGGCCGGAGTCGCGCCGCGCGCCGCCAAGGGGGGGCGCCCGGCGGCACGGAAAGCGCGGGGCCCGGCAGCCGGGGGCAGCCGGGGCAGCCGTCCGGCAGCGGAGGGTGGCGCCCGGCTGGGGTGGCGGCCCGGCGGCGAGGGCGGTCCGGCGCGCGCTGGTGGTGGGTGGCGCCCGCAGCCGTTCGCGCGCGCGTGTTGGTGTGCGTGTGTGGGTGAGTGTGTGAGTGTGTATGAGTTAGTGTGCGGCAGATCGGGTAAAATTAAACGGCTTTGCTGAGTGCTCACGATTTGGCACTTTCGGCAAAGTAAAAAGGTATGCCGAAAAGCTAGATCCAAAACACTCGGCATTGTTTTTTTTAATTTCCCAACCGGTACGGTATCGTAAGTGGGGCGGCTTGGGTATGTTGTCGAGTGTCCACTATATGACACTCGACAACTATATTGTTTACCGAGTGTCGAGAGTTAACACTCGACAAAATAAATTGATATTTCATGCCCACCCATCCTCCTTCTTCATAACGTGCTTTACTAAATTTATTACGATATAATTTAAAAATACCTTGTCAAATCACTCAACAATGCATATTTGATTTTTCTACGAATATTAATCCATTATTTCATGCAGTTATAACTCAAATTCAATATATATCAATTAAAATTATATAATTGTAGTTAATAAATTAAAATTATCAAACGGGTCAAAAATTACCAAAATTTAACGTGAACCAATCTATATTGTCTATTGCCTATACAAAAGTTTTGAAGTCAAACCTCAATTCGACCGTCACTTTGACTCCAAATTTTACCGGATCCTTCTCAACGCTACGATTCTTCTTTGGGGAAGCTTCGGTTTGTAAAGGTTGTACGTGACAAATTGTGCGTAAACATTCTCAATTTTTTCCATAGTCTCCACATATGATATTATGAGATTTTGACAAATCTCGTCATTTTCGAACTTCATTTGCTTTTTTTTTAAATTTAAAACCATTTGGCCATAAGTTGGTAGTCGTGTTTCTGAGCAAAATGTTCAAAATTCTTTTCATTTCCAGTAAGGCTCCAAAATGGACTCAATAACATGAATATGATTTCTCCACTCAATTTATTCCGTTATTTGAATCACTTATGGTTCAAATTTGACTTAAACCAAAAAAAATCCTCTAAATGCAATAAATTAATTAAATATAGCAAATGATCGAGAAATATGCCAAATTTTAACATGCAAGACCACATGTTGTATGTGGAGAGTAGAAAAAGTTTGGAGGGCAGGGGGAGAAAAAAATTATTATTTTACCAAGTGCCAATAAAAAACACTCGGCAACAACATTATTTTGCCGAGTGTAAAAAAAACCACTCGGCAAAAATATCAGTTTGTCGAGTGTCAATAAAAAACACTCGGAAAACCTTGTCTTTGCCGAGTGTCTCTAACGGACACTCGGTAAAGTTATAACGGCATGGCGGCGCACCCAACGGCCGTCACATGGCCAGCCAGACGCCCAGCAAGACGTGCCTCTACTTTGCCGAGTGTCCGTGTTTTTGCGAGTGTTTCGCTGTAGTTTGTCAAGTGTTTTTATTAGACACTTTCGGTAAAGTTGGGTTTTGCCGAGTGCTATATGTTTGCTGAATGTTTAATTAAAAACACCCGGTAAATAGGATGTTTGCCGAGTGCCCGATGAAATGCACTAGGCAAACCTTCAGGCATTCGGCAATTCTACTGTTTCTGGTAGTGCTTGTGATGATCACTAACATCTCTTCTTCAGAGTTGTCTACTGGCGGTGAGTGTTGCTGTGCTACTGTCTCCTCCATGATCGATGGCATCTGTTGATCATATGTCAGCGACGACGGCACACATGCTTCGTCCGTGGAGCCTATTTGTGCTTGTTCCTCAACCGAAGTCAATTCCAGCTGAGAAGTAGAAGGTAGCGTCGATAGGCTGGTTGATAGCACAATGTCTCATCGTTATCAAGCAAGAAATACCATACAAGGTTGCCCAAGACCATCTCACCTTAGCGTGCTAAATAGGCCGGCAGGGGACCTCATCTTTGGCTACGGAGGCATCAGGACTCTGCTTTCTTAACTAAAAGCAACGAGGTAGGTGAGATCAATGGTGGAAAATTAATGTTGTGATAGTTAGGTGGATCCGAAGGCAAAAAAAAAAAAAAAAGAACTAATACTACCACGCCAGAACGAAAACCGGTAGGTGTGGCAATAATACACATGGTTCGTGACTGACAGCAATGCAGGCATGCAGCACGAAGCTATGTAGGTGTGGCAATAAGGCTGTGTGACACTTTGTGGAACCCATACAATAATTCGGATGTCGGAGAAGCGACCGCTTCATTAACCGATCGATTTTGATGGTGCAGCGACAAATAGACAGCAAATCTTAGTTTCAAGAGGATCGATCATGTCCATGCTAGGTGACGCCACCTCCGGGGAGATGGCAGCCGGCTGGCACGCCGTGTTCTTCCCTTTCCCAGCGCAGGGCCACGTCGCGCCTGCGCTGCGCCTCGCCAAGCTCCTCCACGTCCTGGGCGGCGTCCGCATCACCTTCGTCCACACCGAACGCAACCTCCGCCGCCTCATCCGCTCGGGGGGCCCTGCCACGGTCGCCGGCGCCCCAGGGTTCCGTTTCGTCACTGTTCCCGACGGCCTGCCGCCGCCGCTTTCCGACGAGGACGAGGACGACCACTCTCCACAGCACATCGCCGCCCTGCTCTTGTCTTTGGAGGCCTCGGTCCCGCGCCTCAGGAACCACCTCGACGATGCCGCCACCGACGGTGTACCAGCAACCTGCGTCGTCTCCGACATCGAGTGCGTGCTGCGCTTCGCCAAGGACGAGGCGCGCCTCCCGGCCGTGGCCTTCTGGGTGATGAGCGCATGCTCGCTCATGGCGGCCTTGCACCTCAAGAAACTCGTCGACAAGGGATTCGTTCCACTCAAAGGCAAGTGATCGATCGAAGCTGTGTACCTCTGTGACTGTCACTGTCTGACCAAGCATGCATGGTTCGTTTTTAATATATCGATAGTTTCGTTTTGCAGGTGAGCAACTGAGCAATGGCTACCTCACCAACACGGAGATTGACTGGATGCCAGGGATGCCCGAAAACATGCGCCTGCGAGACATGCCAAGCTTCATACGTACGACGGACCCCGACGACGCCGTGCTGCGCGCCGTCGTTAGCACCATGGACAGCTACCATCCTGCTGTGCTGTCTGCCGTTATCCTCAACACGTTCGACGAGCTCGAGGGCAAGGTCGTCGCCGCCATGTCGGACGTCCTCGTTCCTCACATATACACCGTCGGGCCCCTTCCACTGCTGAGCGAGAGCGCCAGCGCCGGCGGCAGTGGTGGCGCCGCCAGCCTCTTAAAGGAGGACAAGGGCTGCCTAGAATGGCTTGGAAGCAAGCGGCCTGGCTCCGTGGTGTACGCCAACTTCGGCAGCATAGCCGTCTTGACGAGCCAGCAGCTGGTGGAATTCGCGTGGGGTTTAGCCAACAGCGGCTACGACTTCTTGGCGGTGATCAGGAATGACCAAGCCAAGAAGAGCACTGCGGCGGCGCTGCCACCGGAGTTCGTCACCCGGGGCAGGGGGGAGACGACAAAGGAGAGACGAGGCTACGTTGCGAGCTGGTGTCCCCAAGGGGAGGTGCTCCGGCACGAGGCCGTCGGCATGTTCCTGACCCACTGCGGGTGGAACTCTATGCTCGAGAGCATTGCGTCCGGCGTGCCCATGCTGTGCTGGCCCGTCGGCGGTGATCAGCAGACAAACTGCAGGTTCGCCTGCACCGAGTGGGGTGTAGGCATGGAGCTTGCCGGCGACGGCGCAGTGCTGAGAGACCAGGTGGAGGCGCAGGTGAAGGAGGTCATGGGAGGCGAGAGAGGAAGGGAGATGAGGCGACGAGCTGCCGAATGGAAGGTGAGTGCAGCTGCGGCAGCACTGCCATTGCCAGATTGTGGTGGGACTTCTTGGGTCAACTTTAACAAATTGGTCAACCAAGTGTTCAGCCCACGTAAGGACGCCCATTGGCAAAACTAGAATTTGTTGCTTGTAATAAGTTGTATAATACACAAAGCTCGAATGCATGCTCTCCATCATCAGTTGTATTGCAAAATCATTTTCATGTGCACAGAGCCAATATCTACTGTACCCCGCCTTACTTTGGGCTGTCTGTTATCCATGCCGTGAGGACGTGAGGTACACTAGATCAATATCACCGACACTGTAACTTTAGTTTAGGTTATATCTCCTTCCAATGTCGTTTGGAAAAAGAAAAAAAAGAGTTTTCAAAACTCTAACAACTTAAAACATAATATTTTTTGGATTCTAAATAATTTCAAATGAAAAAATTATCGACTACAAAGTTGTATATCCCTTCAGGCTCTACAATTTTGATTTAAAGTTTGCCTTCATACAATACTGGTACGTTGCATGCTAGCTTTAAAACTATCTAGAGATCTCAAGCTAAGTGCCAATATACATTTGTTGACTTCAAAAAATGAACGTGGCGTGCGCGCTCCTGCCTCGCCGCCAACACGTCAGCAAGCCAGGAGAAGCCATGTGGAGCAGATCCCGAGATCTCTCAGAACTTCAGAAACACAGGACCGGATGGTCGTGACGTGAGATGTGCCAGTCAATTTGACCCTGTAATTGATAAGGAGAAAAGATTGATCAGTAATTTAAGGCGCAACATGCTAGTGTTGCTCAGACAGTTCCAAATGTGCGACTGAATAGCCGATAAGATAAGGCTATCAAATAAAGAGTCGATATCCAACATGTTAATGATGCAGAGTGAATAAAATAAACGTTATCGGCAAATATCATGTATTAATTATGCAGATCTTAATAGCCGATGATCATGAAAACATGCGGAAGCATAAAGAATAGGTGTGAAAGCATTTATATTAGTTGAGAATCATACTAGCTTTTGACAAGGACAAAAACAAGTACAAGCATTGAAAATAGCCAGTATATCCTCAATAAACAGGATATCGGCTGAAATAGCCGATTCCAGTGATATTGTCGTACATCATGCAAACACTTATTCATTGGACATAAATAAATCTACAAACTAACAAAACTCAACCTATTGTACTGCCAACAGATCGAATCAGCTGATGCAGCATTGACGGTAGGACCCTAGATCAGAGATCAGCAATCAGTAGATCTACTTATATCTCAATAAAGTCATGAAAGCGTGTCATACGCATGATAGCTCAAGCTATCGGCTAAATAGCTGATAGAAATATAGTGAATGAACAACGTCATGTTCTCTTAATAGATAAATTCACTAACTAACAACACTCAATCTATTGTACCGTCAATAGGTTGAGTCAGTTGATGCAGCATTGATAGTAGGACCCTAGATCAAAGATTGATAATTGATGAATCTACCTCTTAGCAGAGCAAGACTTCGAATACTTTCTATGTTCGATCAAGATCAGGATAAATTAGTCGATTTGAGCAGAATCTAACGTCAAAGATTGAATATAGGCGTGAAGCAGAGGCAGACGATGGCTCTATTCGCTTATCTTATAATTCATACTTTTCAGCTTGTTTTTTCAGTCGAAATAGTGTTTTTCTCTCACAACAAATCAACCGGAACAGTGTTTTTGCTTGTTTTTTCAGCAAAGCGAACGGGGCCGATGGATCAATATGGTAAAGACTTGTAAGAGGTCAATCAGCTGATGCAGCCTTACAAATCAGTCGAAATGATTTCATTCTGAAATTCTCCTCTACACCAGCCTCAGAAGCTGCTGGTATGCCTTTACCAGAAACCTAGAGAATCACTTTGGGTCCATTGGCTTTGCTCTGTCACTTTCACTCCTCCAACCTGTTGCTCGTAGGCTTCATGGGCACACTATCCCTTTGTTGCTATCCCATACTCCAAGCCCTCACGAGCACACTGTTGGTTCACGGGCGTTTGGACTCAGCTTCTTTGATGGGCATATATACCACATCGGCCTTATCGAAAGATTCGAAGCTTCCACCATGTTCTTTCCACTTTCATTCTGTCAAGCATCTTCACCTCTACTTGACCCTCCATGAATCAATACTACATCATAGAAACCCCTTGTGGATAGAAGAATTCTTGTGATTAGGGTGATTGTGTCATCCATTCTAGCACCTTGTCGAGAAAGGGAATCAGCCATTGCGGCTAGAAGAATTCTTGTGATATTACCTGAGTCGTCTCACCCTCAGTATAAGGCTATTCCAATGTTTGCAAGGGCATGAATGCGTGGACACCTTCCCCTTGTTTGCTCTGCATATGCCAAGAAGCCTATGAACAAATCAGCGTGTTCTTCATAGGTGTTGGCGGTCACAAACGATCGAATTCGACTGCCAAATAAAGTCCAAAACAGGAGAAATAAACAATCTTTTGACACATATACCTTTACTATTAACATAGTTCCACTTGTATTGGAGAAAACATGTTTTGCTGGACACACATTCAAATACAAAGTGTAAAACCAAGCAAAAGGCGCAATCCAAAAGCCAATTCTGGGCCGGGCACCGACGTGGACAAGGTCCAGGCCCACCCAGGAACCTACCACATGAAGGCAGTCAGTGAGGCGGGCCCACCAGGGTGCGGCCATGCCCCAGCCGCCGCCTCTCGGGCCCACACTTCTCTGGCGGTTGCATGCCTCCATGCATAGGCGGTTCCTGGGTGTTTCCTTATTTTCTAGCACCAAATCGACCTCCATGTCAATATATAAGAAGGGGTAGTGCTCATACTCAACACACAACATTTGGAGCTACACACCTCACTACCCTACTCTTGTAATCTTTTAGTTCTTAGTAGTAGTCTTGTGAGCTAGCAAGAGCTATCAAGGAGGGCTTGGCTTCTTGGAAGAAAAGAGAGAAAAGCTTGGTATGAATACAAAGAGAATTTCTTCCATAGTCATGCTCTCATATCATTTATATAGTAGTGCATATGAACTAGAGTATAGTTGTCTTGTTATAATCATGATATATGAACTAGCATATAGTTTGTGTGTTATGATCTTAACATATTCAACTTTATGCTTAATCATTGATATGATTTGTATGAGTAGAAGTAGAGCAAGGGTTGAGGTGACGGTTCGTCATTCCTTTGGGTTTGCCCATATTCTTGCTTGTCGATCCGTAGGGTTGGAGTCTCAGGGGCATATGGGTAGTTTCCTTGTACACGGGCGTGGTGTGCTCGGGTACACGGGAACCTTCGGATATGACAGTGCCCCACGATTGAGGGGTAGGCGGCAGGTGGTGATAGCCCTATCCATCCCATATAATCCCCCACGTTTGGCTACTGTGTAGGAGTCTTAAAGTCTCTATGGCTTGCTGGCAGAGTAGTGCCCGGGGATCTCCCCATTTATCTCACATTTATTTCTAACTCTAGTCATATAACTTGTATGTTCTTTAACTATTCTTTGCACGACTATATTGGAACATGCCGGCTCCGCGTAGGAATATTCTTTTATTCTTTATTTTCCTTTTATCCTTGAGGTTAGCCCAGATGTGTGTCCACTATCCTTGAATTACCATTTTTACCCCTGTCATGAACTATTGGTCCATGATGCAAGTATGTAATCTTGTTTATGCTCATGCTAGACTCTTTATACCTTGCCCTTCGTTGGGAAAATATAAATAACGATACCCTGAATACTTTCGGGTGAAATGCTACAACGATAGATCCATGTGCTTGCGCATATTTTCTATAATCATTAAGAACTATCGTAGTTGGTGTTTCTTGGTGGCGTCGCTAAGGTTAACTCAATCTTAGTGATGGTGCTAAGAAATACCAATAGACATTTCTGGAGCCGTTGCCGAGGATGGACTTAAAACCTCCACACTTGGTGATTGCGCTAAGAAATGCCAACAATAGGCCTATTACTCTCTCCCCCTGATGCTACTTCCATGTTTAGCCAATGTGATCTTCGTCTTATGTTTCTCGGCTCTATGGGATTTGGACTCCCTTCTACCCAAAAAGTCCTTGGGTTGGTTGGTTGATGTCGCTGGTGTAATCTTTGTAACAAACCCCGAGATCCGGGATGTTCACGTTTATGGAAATCAATAAATCTTTATCTATTTATTACGCTCGATGTGCTCTTTATCTCTTCGTGAGCCATTTTCTTGATCCCTTGAGCGACGATCTGTTTCCATAACCGAATCTAATTGCACAACCCCAAGGAGGTCTACCGCCATAGCTTCCGAGCTATAAATACGAGCCAGGTGTCGTAGTGTTGGAACCGTAGCAAGCATTGTTGTTTGAGTCGGTGTCAAAGTACGTGTCTCTGGTGGCTCGGGTGGACTCAAGAACACAAGAATCACAGAGGGGACGCAACGGTTTATCCTGGTTCAGGCCGATGGGTGCCCTATGTCCAGCAGCTGATGATCCTTATTCTCAAGAGCACCTAAAATCAGGGGGTTACAACAGAGTGTAGAGAGATTTAGTAGGGGGATAGCTCGGTGATAATCCTGAGGTTGCCTCGCCTCTGGTGGAGTCCTCCCTTGTTAGAGAGGAGGAAGATGACGAGACGCTATTGACATTCCTTAGCATCGCTACTAAGAACAGAGTTGAATCTAGTCCCCGACAATGGCGCCAGAAATGCTTGTTGGTATTTATTAACTTATCACTTGTTTTAGTAGCCACCTAATGTTGTTGACATTTCTTAGCATCACTTTTACTAAGTTGTCATCCCTAGCTATGATGCCAAAAATGTTTATTGGTACTACCTAGTGCCTCCTCTAGAAGGACACTAAGAAGTACTTCTAATATTTTATGTGACTAGAAAGAATATAAATATGTATATAAAGGGATCTGCAAGCGCACAGATAATTATACCATTGTAGCACTTCACCCTGGAGTATTCTAGGTATCGTTATTTATATTTTTACCACAGGGATGGATGAGCAATTGGAATATATTGATGACTTATACACATGATAGAGAAATAAACCATGACCAAACTTCTACTCACAATAGGGGTAAGTCAAGAGGTAAATATGATAAGTAATGATAAATGATCACTCAGAGTACTCCTTTCTATGGCATTAGC